ATTCGTATCGGGTACATATTGAGAGAGAATATACTCGCGAAAGTCGGCGACCAAAAAAGTTTCCATCGTTCAACCTAGAGGTCAAGCCCCTAATTGATACGGATAATCTGCACGCATGCACAGAGTCTCGGAATCACGAGACGTGGTCACCCAAGATACTTGGAACTACGTACAAGGTGATTGATATCTACGAACATAAATACGATAGTTCTATACCATTTGGACCAAAGGCTTTGGTGAAGCCAAAACCCAGCATGATAGTAGCACACAAGCTCCGCCTCTGCAGGAGCTGTTACCGATCAATACGTCACACAGATCTACCCCCGCAGAGAAGGTATGACTCAACATAGTGCCACAGTCCAAGACAGTGTAAGGTAGTATGTATATGGTTAACTACATGTGTTGGTGACAATATGTGAATTCCGATGAAATTTTGGGAAGTTATTGTTGGTTTCTGTACACTTCTACCCGAATTCTCATATAAACTTCCTTAATTAGTGAGGAAACCCCAAAGACATATTCCAATACTAGTCAAAGAAGGGCTCGTAAGGGATCCTACAAGGGAACTCTTATCCTAAGCCCAAAACAGAGAAACACCACTGTTTGGAAATTAGAAACTATCATTCATCACTGGTCAAATCGATAACAGTCGTTAATTCACTTCGCTCCCTCGCGTTACACTTCACAGCTTTTCTAGGCTTACCATAGAAGTAGCTCTCTAGCCTTCCTCGATGCTCAGGAAGCATGATACCTCCAGCAACAGCTGTAACCTGTGCCTCTCGATCAACCAGGCTTTTCCCCACTGTCCCTATGACCCTCCTCGGCTGTACATGCTTGAGGAACTCTACTAGTTCTGTGAAGGAGCTATGTTCACTGTATGGTATGGAGTACAGCACACAGCCTGGAAATTTACTACTGCGCCAACAAGATTCCTTTCGAGTCCACCCAGTGCAACGGAATCCAACCACCTTAGAGTAACCAGCATCAAGATAGTCGGCCAGGGAATCCGGCGAGCTCCCGATCCGACCCATCGCATCGAAGACCACTCCATAGTCTTCCTTCTCTGCTATCAACTTCTCCGGAATGGCGCCACATATCTCCATAATTTTGCGTCTTTTTTTCGGTACGAAAATTTTCTTCCCCAAAACTTCGCTTATCCGCACTGCACAAGATTCTTTCCCCAACCTATACCCGCCGACAACGAACATCGTACCAGGCTCATTCTCTTTAGTGACAATTCTGGAAATCATATCTAGAGCTTCTTCCCTCGATGGGTGAACGAATCTCCTATCCGAATACGTAGTATCAAGCCACACCGTGTTGATGACACCATACGCCGGAACAGTCTTCAACAAAGCAGTAGAAGCTCGAAAGTCTCCCGTATGCAGACCCGTCCAGCCTCCAGCGCCACAGAAGAGGAACATGACTGCTCCCGGACAATGATTGGCATCCAAACAGGTCACTTTAACTCCTGCTATTTCGGTAGGCTCACCAAGCTCCAACCTCACCACTCGAGAGGGGTCAACACCGATGATCTGTATTACCAGCTCAGCCGTAATAGGAGAACAATATATAGTACCCCTACAGAAGCCCTTGGTGAGACCCCAAGTATGATCTCCATGGAAGTGTGTTAAGAAGTAAGTCCGACTATCTTGCCTCAGTCTAACAGGCACACCGAAGCCGTCCACCACGAAAGCCTCCGTTTGTCCTGGAATCTCCGTTATCACTTTGTACGCCCACTCCTTCCTCTCCTTCTCAAGACCTACCAGCGACCGTTTGCGAGGCATGATAAACTGCAAAGTCTGACATCACATGTTTGAAAGAACCTTGAAAAACGACAAACCTAATACGCGAATGCCCAAGGAGATCGAACCCACACGATCCGAACAAACGACCCCACCAAATTGAAATGTCAATCTCTACTATCCTTCCCCAAGTGTAACACTCATTAACACAACTCTTCACTACGATAGGATAATTATTCCAGGAGGGCATCATAAGTGTGAACGAGACCAGCCGAAAACCGACAATATTGCTAAACACCATCCTCGAATGCCTTCATCATATGGACTCACGCCACAACTTGGAACAGAGTCCGAAGAGGCAGTCTGCTAATGCAGTTTTTCCACCTTACGCGGACTTGAGAAGGGCCTGACGCTGCTTCTCCTTAGCCCTGTTATCAAGAGTCTCCTGGAAGGCCTTCCACATGACAGAGAAGAACATACCCTGCATACCGTTGGTGATAATACGGGTAGCAAGACCACGACCGAAGAGACCAGCATAACCGTCCTTAGCGACGATGTCCCTAACAGCCTGAGGATAGCTCAGAGGTACCTGGGAAGTCTGCTTAGTGGTCTTAAGCACCCTAAGGGAGTTCGAAATGCAATCGGACACGAAGGATGAGCAGAAACCTAGTAGGGCATTACGAACGTACTTGCCATGCTTGAAGTTGAATTCAGGCAAGTGAGCGTTCAAAGTGTTATGGGTGACAAACCATGGATAGTGGCCAACCCAGGTGGCGGCCATGGCACCGAGAGTACCATGCCACAAATTCGTGATACCGTGAGTCTTCACCTTATTGATGAGAACCTTCATACCAGCCTCACCCTCAACCTGCTTGGTGGTCTTCCAAGCATCAATGGGCATGAGGAAAGCACGGAAGCATGCGGCACCACAAGACGCGAAAGCAGTCTTCACACCGATAGGCATGTTCTGGGTGGCCTGAGTGTTATCCAGAAGGGCCAACACACCAACGTTGGCAGCAGTATCACCGAAACGGGACATGGGGGCTTGGATCAATGCAGGGACGAGACCACGGTAGAATCGAGGAACACCGCCCTCAGAATAGAGCTTCTTGAGGACCTCACCGAGGTGACCACCATAACGATACTGATAGTTCATAGTGGTACGCATCCACATAAGGGCGAACACGTTAACGACCTGGGCAGAGGCACCAGCAATACCACCACGGAAGGCGGCTGCGGTGGCCTTGCCGAGGACGTCAGAAGCAGAGAGTTGCTTACGCTGCTGCTCCAAAGCGGCAGCCTGAGCGGATACCGGAGCGGGAGTAGTTGTCGCAGATGCGGCGGGAGCTGACATAATGACTAAGTGAGAGAAAATGTAGCTTCTACCACAAAGGGAACTCATGACGACGCTACGAGCATCCAAATTCCTCCCTCGGGAAGACAGGAACCACCATACCTAGAAGCTTCCATTTTGCCAACCCGGGCAAACATAAGGCCTTCATAATGAATCCCCCAGGACATACCTAAGCTAACGCCCCCCAACGAGAAACGACCAGCTAAGGCAAAATTCGCTATCCAAAAAGAAGATGTCGCTCCCCTCCTTGCCTTGTCGGGAAGGGTAAACCTAGGCAAGCACATCAAAGCTAGTCAGAGGTTTCTAGGGCTCCTAAACGCTAGTCGAGACTTAATCCCCTAGCCCCGTGCGGCAGGATTCGAACGAAAAAAGCGCACGCCCGAA